TCGCAGAAACCATATGGCCCTAGAAATGTAACCACACTTCAGAACATTTCGGCTTGCCCTGTGTGTTGTTTGAACGAGCTGCAGGGGTGACATCATATCACAGGGTCTCTCTTTCTCTCTCTGTAGCATATGCGCCCAGATGCGTTCTCAGGTACCGAAATTTGGCACCGATTGATTTAACGTGAATCGGTACTCGGCAGTACCGACGCAATTCGGTCGGTAGCCTTAAAAGTACCGAGTTCGGTACCCAACCCTAACTGGTTCACAGCAGTTCTGATTTTTTTTTTCATATCGCAATATATATCGCAGAAAAAAAATATATCGCCATGTGAGTTTTTTCCAATATCGTGCAGCCCTAATGTACAGTAAAATAAATTGCACCCCACACTTCAACTTATGTAAATAACTTGTGCTGCTCTGGCATCTGGTGAAAAAACATTTGCAAAAGGGTTTCTAAACAACACTTGTGGTAGAAACAATACTCAAATATTTATGCTGGTTCATATTACTATTTATTCAGATTAGGGATGTCAATTTTCGATCATTTCCATGATCGATCGTCGTGATTATGATCATTTGATAAAATGAAGAGAGCTCGTTTGAGATCATTTTACTTTGTTGACCGTTTCCTATCCCGACACGGAGACCGCTGAACGCGCCTCTTTAAATGGTTTCGTGGTGCTCGTTGTTGTATTTTAAAACAATTGCAATGTTTTCAACTGACATAATGGCATTTAAAATAAAATTATCCCAAACGTAACTGTGGCGCGTGTGGCTGTGCTGTGCAGTCAGTGAACCGCTTCCATCTGCGCTACTTAATTTGATCCTGCTGGATCCTGTTCCAGAAAAAGTCAGATTTAAAATTTTTGCGTTCCGGTAGGCCTATTTGTTTTTAAAAATCCGGCATTTACAGTGCATTAGATCGTGACATTGAATGCGTGCCTGCATACGAGACGGAGCGAGCGCGGATTTGGCTAGATTTGGAGGTTATTGCAGACTGCGATGTAAGTTTGAATTGCTAGAATATGTGGGGTGTGCGCGCGGGAGGTGCCGGTGCGATCGAACAGCTAAAACATAAAAAAAAGCAAGATATAATCCGCATAAGTGTTTACTTTTATTTTTGCACACTCACAATAAAAACAAGATTTGTGCTTTTGCAAAATAAAGCAAAAAAACAGAATGCGCGTATCCTTTCCTTTCCGTGAACTTGTTTATGGAGCGCCGCGCCACACTTCTGTTTTAAATCTGTTAGCTTAATTATTTAAGTCAGATATATTTCGCATATTTTTTTTAATGAAAACAAATTGTTATTTTTATTTTAGGCCTATTACTTACATAGGTTATACATTTATCGATAGCTTTAATCGATTGCATCTCTTATCGACAATTAATCGATCATCGATTAATCGTTGACATCCCTAATTCAGATACAAATGTGCAGAGTCCTGTCAGTAAAAAGTACATAAAGTTGAAAATGCAAACTTCGCAAACATAAAAATAGATGATAATTTAACACACACACAAATGTATGTTAAACTACAACATTTTTCATTCATTAGTACACAGTGATAGCCTATATTGGGACTGGGATATTGGCCAGGGGTGCATTTCCAAAAAACAACGTTAGCGAACTATGGTTGTTAGTTACATTGAACTCTATTGGTAACGTCGGAACTTGCGACAAAAGTTGCATTTGGGAAACACAATTATATTAGTAATTATTCTTTACTTTGACATCTTAAGAATTGCAATTGGAATTTCCATCTTTTGCCATTTCCAAAATTATGCCAACAGATAATAAACATTGGTAATGGGTTTTAATTTTTTTTCCATTTCATAGGCACTGAATTGTATTGGCCAGTGGCAACCCTGCTCTCTAGATATCAGCATTGGCTATCGCAAACTCTATTACCACTTGACCACGACTTTAGTCGTTAACAAACGTCTATAATCTTGCAAACAAAAGCACAATGTTACACTCTGAACAGCGAGCAAGGTTTGGATAACAATGGTAACATTTTTTGCAAAGCCATTTGCTTCTAAACAGAACACTGATGTGTGTAATTGGAAGCATTTTGACCTATATTTTGTGCCAAAGTATTGGTTAAGAGCATGTGTCTGCTGACATTGGGCTTCATTCAAAGCCTGATGTCTGTAAACTAATTAAGGCAGCCATTCTTTTTCTCACACAAGTCAAAGGAGCATGCACTTTGACCTCTGACAGTGTAAATAATTAACACTCAAGTCTGCAGAATTTGTCCTGCAGTGCTAAGGGGCTCAGGGCTGCAAACAAGGGCTGGAAAGCAACGACCACAGTGTTCTAATAAAAATGAAACCGCAGCCTTACACTAAATCTGTAAGAATCTGATTAACTCATGTTAGTCTATCCATGTTTGAAATGCTTCACCAAGCTTCAGCGAGGAGAGGGCTTTGTTCAATAAGCTGGAGCTTGTATCAGCCTTTCATTTAGTTTCATATAGGTTTTCGCAAGTCTCTGATCACCACAAAAGCCACAGAGTGGAATTGAATGCGAGTAATATCGTTTAAGTTTAATTGATATTAAGAAAACCGTAGCTTCTATATCATACTAAATTTTTAAATCCTCTTGAATTTTGTGAATCTAGATTGACAGTCCTGATGGAGATGATTGTGTTGCCATTTAAATAAGGATTTGGTGCAACTGCAACAGAGTCATTGGATTCTCTGTAACTATGCCTTGTAAATGACAATATCCCACCAAGAACAAAACCTTGTATTGATTGTAGGCCCCTTCATTGATGAGCCATCATCTGACGACCATGCATGCTCTACATAATCCCAGATGGTCATTCTTTCACAGTGGGCAGATCTAAAGACTGCAGATGTTCTGCTGGAACAAACAGTCAAAGGGGTCAAAGTCAGTTTGCAACATCTGTAGCTAACCTGTGCACTGTGGTTTCAAGTGAAAAGCCTGTTTGATCCCTTTAAAAGTCCAGGAGATGTACAGCTTATTCAATACGCTTTTTAAACATGGCATCACAGAATGAATGTTTTGGGATCACAAATCTCAATAATTTTTTGCCTTTTGAAAATATGTGATATATTGTATATTGATAGGGCTGTGCAATTAATCGCATGCGATTGTCGTGCGCATCTCGTCAGTAAAGCCGGTTGCGTAAATGGTAGTAAATCTCCATCACCTGCTTTCAGATGGAGCGGCATTTAATGTAAACTTAATGCCAAATAAAAGTACATTAAAATCATCACACTTTTCACAGTGTTGGCTAATTTTATATGGCCGATAAAATATAAAATATAATTAGAATTGTCATCCCTATTGATGTCACACACAAAAAACAGACAGAGAATAACGTTCATCTGCATTAGAAAGATAACTTAAAGGCACAATCTAACAAAAGTGCATAACAGACCACTTGTTGTAACGGCAATAAAGATTGAATGCTGAACTGAATGATGTGCATAGCTTGAGTGGTGACAACAGTAAATTCATAATGAGTGTATGGATCTTTCCAAGCATTCACAAACATTACAGAGCTAGAGCAATATACAGTGGTGTGAAAAAGTGTTGGCCCCCTTCCTGATTTCTCAGGGCCATGTAGTTTTGGATTTTGTTTTCCCTTAATAATAAAAACCTTCATTTAAAAACTGCATGTTGTGTTTACTTGTGTTATCTTTGACTAATATTTAAATTTGTTTGATGATCTGAAACATTAAAGTGTGACAAACATGCAAAAAAATAAGAAATCAGGAAGGGGGCCAACACTTTTTCACACCACTGTATCTCTCTTCCAGCTGTACGCTCCCATCGGCTCAGACCTATTGATTTCTCTGGACTATCCTAACACAGGATCAGAGAACTTTCAATATCAAAGCTTGTTTGCGGTAGGAGCACTACGATATATATGGACTAAAAAAAACACAACAGTCAAGACCAAAGCTGAGCAAAAGCTTTTTAAGTGTAAAGTATAGACAGAAAACATCTAGCTCTGGTCTGCAGACAAATCTCAACTCTCCAGACACTAAACAGCAAAAAAAGAGAGAGAGAAAAAAAATAAAACTGTCTGAGACACAGGTAATAGATTCGCCCTCCGGCTGACTGCCAACTCATCTCCACACAAGTACTCTACAACATTATTACTGATAAAAGCAAATCATGAAAGTTCACATATTTGCCTGTGTTTGGTGTCAAGATACCCTTACAAAAATATTGCAATGTTTTTTGGACATGGTGTCATGGAATGAAGTTCCTTTGAGCACCATAGTTATACCATCTATAACACTTTTGTACAATAATATTAGAGTACTGCAACGTAAAGGCAGATGATGTGTGGCCAATATCATCAACCTATATCAATGTGCTACACTGTATAACATAATCTGTCACCAAAGGAGGAAACTGTAAACAAAATACTATATATGAAAGTCAAGTTCAGACTCATTAAATGATTTCTGAAACACCTTCAACATATGTCAGCATGTATCTGCACCAACGTTTCATTACATTTCATTACACTTCTTTCAAAGAACAAATGAACTCTGGGTTTTCTTTTCAAAGCTTTTCCATATGCTATATATGATGATTTTTCTGCTTTCTAAATTTGTCTTCACTTGATGCTATTTGATATCTGTGCTGATTCTTTAAATAGATACAATAGGGCAAATACATTTCATTTGCATTCACACACACTCAATAGTGCACAATAGTTGCACTAGGAACCATGGGACTGAATAAACCAAGATCTTATTAACATACCAATGTATTTACATGGCCAAGGTATGTCAAAGAATACAATAGTGGTAATATCAGGGTTTCATGAAGAGACTTACATTTAAAACCTTTTTTAAGACCAAGTAAAGAAAATTTAAGGAAATAAATTTGATGGAACACAGTAAGTCAATATGATCTCTAAACAAGTAAGTAAATGTCTTGTATTAGCAATGCTTCGAGGTTTGAAAATACAACATCCAGCAGATATCCATTATTTATTTTTAATCACACTGGAAAATAGTGATGTTCTTCTTCATAATTTTTTGTCTTGTTTTCATTTGCAAATGTCTAAAGATTTCGAAATGGACACATTTACTTGAAAAACAAAATGATATAAAATAAGAAGTCTTGTTTTATGAGAATTTGATCAAAAGTAAGTGAGTTTATGATTAAAACAAGAGAAAACATCTGCCAATGTCAACTTAATTCACACTAAATCTTGTTCAGTTTCTCAGAAAACGAGACCTTGCATGTTCAATTTGCATTTCAAGTAAATATATGTTGATTTAAAGGGGTCATATGATGCTGCTAAAAAGAACATTATTTTGTGTATTTGGGTCCTCTTTTGGAAGACCAAACAAAGTAGTTTCGCTTTCACAACGAAGCACACAGCGTCTTCAGGATATGGCGGCGGCAACAATACTACAGTGAGAATAAAAGTTACGCCTTCTTTCTTTGCGTGAACATTTGGGCGGCATTATGCAAATCTTCCCACATCGTGAGGTAGATATGTGGGGGCGTGTTAGAACGAGCCGTTTTAGGTAGGTGTGGCTGACTCTTAACTTTTATAAAGAATATCTCTTTGGATTTGAGACTTTAGTCTTTGCAACTTTACAGATCTTCTTTATGCACCAAGAGCTTGTAACACTCCAAAGAGAAAGGAAAAATTGAAATCGCATCATATCACCCCTTTAAGGACGTTTTGATATTTGTATTAGGAAAAAAATACTTACAATTTTTTTTGCAGTGCATCCAACATTTAAAGCCATTACTTTATGAATTTAAGGGTTTCTGCCCTGATTTAAGACCTTTTGACATCTTAATTTCTGGAAGGGCAAATTAAGACTTTTAATACCTTTTTAATTCCCGAAGAAACCCTGTAATATGGTACACCTAAAACCATCAATGCAAATGTTTCAAAATGTCCAATTCCCAACAATGTATGGTGACATTGAAATGTATTTCCCATTAGCCTGCAGCAACAAATCATTTTGAATTTACCTTAAAGATAACTAAAGTTAGGTTTTGAGATAGTATCCATTCACAAGTAGCTCACGCAAGCAGTTTAAAGGTTATTTAAATCAGGAAAACTACTGTTTCTGACAAGGATGAGTGTAAAGCAGTGAAGATTAGCCACAGAGTTTATAATCCCCATCATAAAGCAAACACATTTGGCCTCTACTCAATCAACACAGTGACAAAACTAGCAGAATTATTGCTTGATACAATTATTCTGAACCAGTGGGAAAATCAAGCAAGCAGATAAGATAAGTTATAAAGATGGTATCAAATGTTAATACTTTGACATACATTATTTACATTTCAAGTACTCTAAGGTACTTCAAAGAATACTATAATACTTGTTCAAAAACATGGTATTCTCCACGTCCAAAATCCACGACATAATTATGGTACCATGTCTAAAAAGCCATGGTAATACCATGGTACCTTTTGTTAGTGTACGGGGGCTGCTGAAGGCTGTATTATATGGAGTCCTAGAGTGAGTTATGTGTTTGAAAGCAGTGATTCACTATGAATCTGCTGATACTCACACATATAACAGACTCGAGCTCTTCCACAGAGAACTGCAACTCCAGCATAAACAAACCAGTGCTGTTTTAAACACAGTCGGAGTGTTTATTGACTCCATAAACCGTGTATTTCCTTACTCCGTGAGGGAAAACAATTAATATTACTGGTGTAATCGAGTAAACTGGGACTCGTTGTTCGGTTCGCCGCACCTAACGCGCGGTTCAAACGCATTGGTCCGCGTTGCTCTTAAGGAAATGACTCGCTAAGATGGTCAAAGCATGTGTGAGCCATGACAACCGAGCTAAGCTAACGGGCGAAAGCACCTCCAGTCTCCATCTGCACCAATAAAACACCACCCCCTACCTACCCACACACACACACACACACACACACACACACAAAAGAAATGCATTAATCCCATCGCCACTTACCCAACACGCGAACCCCTATCCAGAGAATACTTATGTACATTCCATAGAGAAAGGTGGAAATGCCTCTGGATTTGCGTACGGAATTCCAAAAACGCTCCCAAAGCAGTGCACTTTCCAACACATCCAGCAACTAGAGATAGGGAAGGCCAGCAGCCATCACACTCCTAAAGATCCCGTTCAGAAATGGAAACACTGCCTTGAAACTGGCATCGCAGGATCTAAATCTCAAAGCGTTCTTCAAATACGTCTTTCTTAAACTCCAGGACGATAAATCCAACATCTCGGCACGTCCATTTTCACGTATTCATTCATTTTTTTTCTCTCTTGAGTTGAGTCCTAGAACCCTAGCTCCTTTCAGTAAGGGAGATACAATGTAACTAAAGGGCAGGAGGAGGAGGAGGAAGCGCCATGAAATCCAGGAGAATGATCCGCATGGATTGAACCCTAGGCGCGCAGTGCGTGATAAAACGCGGAGACTGGATCGTCGTTCCATTCCACCGCTGCCAGGCATTCTTTCTGAAACTTCCCACGTGTTTGAATGTGTTGTGAGTCCAAAGCGTTTAAAATGCATTCAGAAACGTGGTGTCCTTTCTGCCTTAACTTATTTTCCTCTAATCTCCAGATCCTGTTTTTAACATGGTAACTCTTTATATGTCTTTAATAGGAAATGGTAAACTGTTTGTACAATTTCTGACAATTTCAATTAGAAGCAAATGTATAAAAACAGTTTGTGAAATATTTTCAAGTAGTTTAATTTTGGTTTCATTTATGTTTTTGCAATTCATTTACAATTAATTAGTCTTACAGTGATTGAATTATCACCAGTGCGTTAGTAGCACTTGTGTATATTATCTTGTAATGAATGACATAAACATACTTCAGAGTTGTAATCATGTAACTCTTCATCATATTCCATAAATAAATTATGAGCAGTCTAGGTCTGTTTATCTGAGTTGAAACAGTCTACTGAATAAAAATAGATAATAGCAGTTGTCATCAACTATTCTAAGATTACATTTTAATAACTGTAAAACAGTGTCTTTTCGGGTCACTTTAAGAAATGAATTAGTCTGCTTAATTATGGGTGATACAAATAAGTTTGATCAGACAGTGCTTTTTTACCATCATAATAAATGATCAAATCAGTGTTATTTTAGTATTGAGATACTATTGCATATTTTTATTTTAATCTTTTTTAATGTCTATAGTCGATAATCATTTTTTAAAATAAGAAATTTTAAGAAATTTTTCCTTTGCAACTTAATGAAAAAATAAGTGCATTAAATATTTTTATTTACTTATTTATTTGGTTTCCGTTTTTGTGCACAATCTAGTTATTCTGGCTGACTTTTGAACATAAAAACCTGAAAACATTTACGTAAACTCTATTGCCAAACTCTTGTTTCCAGAGATTCACTGAAAATCTTCCCCTCTATTGTAGCTCTAAAACCTAATTTGCATGTGGAATTACATCTCTATCTCACAACCAATTCATAGGTATTCTACGAGGTGGCGAATTCATATGAATTCGCATGACCTCACTCGTTCGATTTTGTACGATTTGTCTAGACCCCAGTGACGGGTAGGTTTAGGGGCGGGGTTAGGGGTAGGTCATTCGTACAAATTCAAACGAATTGGGGAACTCGTAAAATACATACGATTTAGCAAAAAACGTACGAATTCATATGAGTGACGTTGTACGAATTCATACGAATTAGCCACTTTGTAAAATATGGATGAATTGCCGTGGGATCGGGTTGCCAATTATGTATATGTTTCATAGGAAATGAGCAGCATGAACATTCTGCTACATATCCTTTTTCAGAGAGGGAAAGAAATCGTACAAATTTGAACTGATTTGAGGGTGAAATAGTTATGCCCGAATTTACATTTTGGATGAACAGTCCCTTTAAAAGAGGAGGAGTTAAATTATCAAACACATTTGGTAGTACAGTAACATTGCTGGTGAGTGATTTATCTGTAATGTTTTTGCTTTTCGGTTGATGACTGACAGCATTGCTTTTGACATGATTGAGAGGAATGATCATTTCTAAAGACACAAAGGGCATACATCTAGCACTTAACTCATTTTGCTACTGTGCAGTAGACTGACAAAAACCCATGCATATCAGTTTACGTGTTAAATATAGCAAATAAACACCTACATTCCATGCATCTTTAACACTCAAAGATTTCTTAATAATGTAAAAATGCTATTTGTTGATGTGCAGGTAGGCTATTACTCGCTCACTATTTCCACAGCTGGAAAGCTCCTCTAAACAATGCTAGTTTCCAAATGGCTGATAACAGACCAGCAGCTCCAGGTTTCATCATAAACTCAGCCATGGGGAGAAATTTTTCACTCTATTTTTCTGGGTGCCTGGGTGGCAGCGTCGTGTCTGTAGCCACAGGTATGCTCATTTGCACTTTCTTTTATTCGGGGTTAACAGAGTGAGGCCTGTCAAACAGTGGAAAGAGAAGGAAATGCCTGCAAGGAAAGTGCTGACTGGGAACAGGAAGACCTGCTGCTGACATTCCTTCTACAACCTAAGCCTCTTTTAAAATGCCCCCTCATTCAAATGCAAAAACATAAGCTTTTCATAAGATAATTAGCTCCTTCACACTTGAATCATGCTTTTAATAGCTCATACTGTTTGTTTAAACAAATGCAGGGAATTTGTTTCAATACTTCATAATACTGTTGTTTTATTGGTATAGATTTTTCATTTATAAATCCCACGCATTGGCCATGCATCGAAGCCCACCCAAGATCACGCCGCCGACAACGGCTCTGTGAAACTGAATTTTGGAAGCTCTTCAGCACTCCTCAGAAAACGTCTTTTGTACTTTGGCACAAAGGAGTGCCCAGTACCCCATAGCTGGTTAAGATGACCGAGTTTGATTAGCTGCTCTCTGGCTTTAGGCAAGGGAGGGTTTTCAAAAGGTTTAATCTTAAACTCAAACAGTATTTGTATTTTTGAAAATTAATTGCACATTACAATATGATGGAAAAAAAAAGAAGCAAAGTGACAGACGTTGTAAAAGGGTGGCTCTTATGAAAACCTTCAAGTAAGGTCACATTTCAGTTCAAAAATAACATGAAATATATTCTGCATTAGTAAAAATTATGCCTATTTGTACACTGTGACAGTATTTTCTTGACAATCAAGTACATTTCCTCTCTCAATCGTTAGTAGACTACCGCGAAATATAAAATATAATAAATAAATCTGCATTTCAATCTATCATAGTAATACCATTGTGTTTTTTGATACCTTGGAGAACCATGCAAAAACACCAGTATGTTTCTTAATATCATCTTAAAGGGGTGCATGTACAAGAACAACAACAAAGGGCCTAATACAGAACTTTTTGGCACTCCATACTTTACTTACATGATTTTCTGTGGAAGATAGATGGATAGATATATAGACGGATGGATAGATTTTTCATTATTATATTACATTAATGATAATGATCATTTTTTTCACATGGCAGGAATGGGAATTTGGTGGGAATTGACTTATTTTAATTAATATTTGTGAGATTTACCAAGAAAGATTCACACATAACAAATGAACCAAAATAAAAACAACGCAATCCAGAAAAGTCTATATATTCAACAGACTGCAGATGCTAGCTGATCATTTATCATGCTGATGTATTTGAAATACGTAGAAAGACCGATGCCCCGTTTTGCACAAGAAGAGGAAAATGCATGCTCAATACACGGCAGGCTACTTTAATGCAGTTCCCATCGTGCAATCTACCGTTAATGGAGCCAGTCATTTGCTCTTTCTGGTGCAGAGATGCTTGTGTCACAAAGAGGCCACTCAATCACTTTGAGAGCAGCAGGCCCAAAACCTGAGAGGCTCTGGCTTTGACAGCCATTGTGGCCCAAATAACAAGAGCAGCTCCAATATGAGCTCTCCAGCACAACTGCCTCTTTATAGTAAGCAGAAAATTCCATGCTCAGCCAACCGGTTCAGGTTCAGACTGTCTGCTTTATGAGCTGGAAATCCAATTGAGATTAAAAGGGAGCTGGTTAATTATACAGCAGTATTATACGCAAAATAACCCAAAAGACTAAATTATAACAAATAAATTATATTTTAAAATGCTTTCCAACTGAAATGTACTAAAGAACCAATACACAAGTAGTCTTCAGCCTTTTAATCAGGGAATGATTGTGCATTTGCCGTGCTACTGATGTCACCATTAGTCCCACACGTCCCATATGTGACACGGTGATTCCCACTGTAGCATGACATGGCCAACGTGAGGCTTCCACAGGGACTCTCTGTTCCTCGTCTCTTGGCCGCCGTGGCTTTGTTCAGGTCACGCTGGCTGCATTAAACACTTCTTGGCACTTTGGTGGCTCTGGCTCTCCAGTTTCCCTGTGTGAGAGAATGGGGAGGGGTGAGGTTAATGGTGATTCAAGTCCCAGTGACCTTTTCAAAGCTCCCTGTCAAACAACGAAAAGCTGCCCTGCAGGAAGAGAGAATTTATGAATCGGTTTACACACACATTCACACTTCCAACACCTTTTTCACACTTTCTCATCATACATAGAGGGATTGCAGTGCTGTAAATGTCACACTAACACATGATTACTCAGGGACAGGTTTAAATCTAGATGATGTGTTCACAGAATAGCCCATCTGTTGCATGAGAAGAGCAAGAAATTCTGATTCACAACCAACTAGCATTTAGAAAACAGCTCTGAGAGCTATAATTTTCTTCCTAGAATGACGTGCAACATAATTCATGTAATTTGTTACTGAGAAGACCCGTGAAAAAGTTGCACTGTTGTACAATGTACGGTAGTACCATCTGTAGGTATGTCAATAGGTTAAAATATTCCATCATGTCTAATCTCTTATTTATTTATTTTTTCGAATTTTTAATCGGTCCAAATGTCTTTTCTCTCCAAATGCAGTTCTAATGCATTCTGTTAATCTTGTAAGGAAATAAATATGTAATAAAGATGTTTTATTGATGCTGTAGCAGTTTTTCACTCATAAATGGTATGTCATATTTGTTGAGCTTCGATAAATAACTTTTACCATATAATAACTGATGAGATGAGAAGGAAGCAATTTTAATCTCAAATTAAGTGAAAGTGTACCTGCATCCAAAAATGCCATTAAACATTTAATTATTCACATTTTTTACAGTAAAACAATATCTTCTTTAGTTATCCTAAATATACTAAAATGTATTTGAAATACATTTATTTCATGCTAAATATACTACACATTTACATATTTGTGTAATTAATAAAGTTACTTATTACATATTTGTGTAATTACTTAAAGTCTGCTAAAATTTGTACAACTAATTTTGTAGTTAATGCACTT